TTCTAAGTGTTCGATCTTTGTATTAATAAATTATAACAAACTATTGGAGTAATTTCACAAAAATAATTTAATGTCATGGTGGTTAAACATCCTGAAATTCAATGGACTTAAAAATTAGAAGAGAAATTGTTACTTGTAAAATAATTTGTAATTTTTTCCCTCTCCTATGACTCTATGACTGCTTATACTATATCCATGAGTATATTTGTTGCATATACCGTTTTTAGAAGATATTATTTTCGGATCAAAAATACTTATTTTGTGACGATCTTTAAATTTCTCCCTAATACTAATTTTGGTAGCTCTAACTGCTAACGAAATATATACATATCACGTTTGTATCCCACAGGGCAGACAGAGACCACGAATCCACACTACATTTCTGACAAGCCCCTTTCTTCTCTTTAGATGGATAGATATAAAATTTTTATATATTTTTTAGTTAACATGTTACTTACTTATCGGAACTTACCCTAACGATGCATAAGCTGATATATCATTAAACAATTCCAATATTCTAAAACTGGGTTATGGTTTTTGTATGATATCTCAAAAAAATATTTTGTCACTGTAGCCGCGCTTCAGTTAGTGGACGGCACCACATAAAGCTTAACAAATGCACAAACCGAACGTTTTTGGCGCAAATCTAAAATTTTTGAGCGCGTATTTATGTAACGCCTTTGAAGTGCAAAAATACCACAGAACTTTGTATTGCTGTATACATATTTTAATAACATAAACGTACTAAATATCAAATTGAACCACTAAACGAGCATGTTCTCAAAACTAATAGATCTTTTGTATCGGAAGTTGAATATTACAAAACAAATAAATACTAAATAGAGAGATCTGGCTTGCGTCGTGTGCTCACGCAAGCATTTCATTATAAACCAACGGTAGATCTTATCTCAATCTAATCACGCTTATTAACTTTTCTTGTTGTTGAAAAGCTTCGAGATTTCTTGAGGCAATAAAAATTAGGAATTCCTATGACTCCAGAATGTGAAAATGTTTTTTTACTAAATTTACAAACCGACTAGATGTTAACCTATTTTATCGAAGAAAATTACGATAATAAATCTTCTCTTCACTCCGCAGAACATTAATTTTTATTAAACATTTAGTGGTAAACGATAATCCCTAAAATTCCCATCATATCGGAAAGTTATGTGCGTCATTGCATATTGACAGATCCCGCATGAGAGTAAACTTTAATTATCCCTCCATCCACTCCATCAGCGGCCAATTAATAAAAATTACCTCTTACATAAAACTATTAGCGTCCAGCCGCGCCAGGCCGATCAACTGATCGAAATCGGCCTCCTCACCGATGATAAATTAATTGTTTTATTATGTCACAGTCGATACACTATAAAAAACCGACAAATTACTACGGAATTGAGACATCCCACTATATCTTTTATTAGACTCATGAAACTCTTTACGAATAACGCCGTCAAAACCTATCGAGAAATCAAAATGGCCACGCCTAATTTTTTCCTCTAACCCCAGCGTGAGTTTTATGCTAATGAGACCCAAAACAAACATTGTTACAAGCCAAATGTGTAACATACAATAAAAATAAATTAAATAATAAAAGGAATCGTTAAAATGGAAGAAATGTCCGTAATTTATCCACGAGTCACCTTTTAGGCATTCCGTGGATGCCTTCTCGGCGGGATCCCGCCCGCTCTAGACGCGATCTCGAATGAAGGCGCCACAAAAAGAAGTATTCAATAAGCCGTTGGCCATTATTGAACATAATCGATGAGGTAAATTAATAATAATGAAATTTTAAAGAAGCGGAGCGCATACAGGGTTAATCGTCTTCATATTATATGATCTGTAAAACAAAATAGAATTTAAATTCTAATTGCATTACAAATCAATACTAAATAACAGTAGCGAAAGGGTCCATAAAAAACGATTCTTCTACATGTGCTGACTTTCTTGAAATCATATTTTTGATATTGTTATAATTATAATTGTTCATAAATATTATTCTTTCTTTCGCCACTGCTAAGTAGCGATGTGCAAAGACGATCCAAATTACCCATACTCATCAAAAACATATCCTATTTCCTCTCATTGCCCTTCAGGTGTATGATATGTAATTTTATCATCTCATTATTCGCCCCAATGCTGAGCACGAGTCTCCTCGAATTAAAGGCCATAGAATAATATGTACATTAGGACAAGCAGTACAATTCCCGCCTGTTCGGCGCCCCAATGCCTACACTATCCTACACTACGGTAGTCGTAGGGTTGTTAAGTACATTATTATTCTACTTGTTAGGGCGTGTTCCCATTATGTCGTGACGACAGAAAGTGTCGTGGCTTGTATATTTAAATGAAGTTGTTCACACATAGAACAACACGATTAACTGTCGTTCACGACTTTTTTGACGTTACTGTCTTATAAATAGACTATATTTATAAATATCTCTAACTGCAATATGTGGTGCGTATAGCTTGGTTAGCAATTAAGTTAACGTTTTATTTTAAATTGTATATTTTGTCACTGATATTCTGGAGACCGATCAACAAACATGTCTCTTTAAATCAACGTATTCACCTACGTCTATACTTTTTAATAATTTGAGATGTCGACCCTGTCAGGATAACGCAACAGACTGTCGTGACAATGGGAATAGCTAGAACGACAGTCGTCAGACGATAAATAAAACGTGACGATAAAAATGTGACGACAGATAATCGCAGCTTCAAACGATTATGTCGTGTAAACGAGAAGGCGGCTACTGTGAACCGATAAATAGTCGTCACGATCTAGTTGGAACAGCTAAACACGACAATCGTTCAACGATAAAATAAACGCTCATGACACAGTCACGACAGATAGTCGTGATATGGGAACAGGCTAGACGCGACAGTCGTCTAACGTTAAATAAAACGTTACGACATAATGGGAACGCGCATCACAGTATTCTGTGCTATATTGAATAAATAAACTTAGTAGCAGTAGAACTCCTTGTGAAAGAGTTCGTCCAGGGAAGTACTACCGCACTTTACCTTAGACGTGGAATATTTTCTTCAAATTTGAATGGAACCTCTTCTACAAAGGTATCCCTTTTCAAGAAAAAAGAATCATCGAAATCGGCTTACAAATTTCGGAGTAATCGCGGAATATTATACAAATAAAATGCAGCCGAAATGAGAACCTCCTCCTTTATTTTGAAAACTTCTTTCTTCTTTTTTTTCTTCGTTTCTTCAGAATACGATTTTATTTTACGTGTGCCCACTACGTACCATAGTTTGAGGCTTTTTAAGAATGCCAAATATCAAGAACATACGAACTTCCAATATACCATACCGGATACCTGTTCTGCTCTGCTCCTAAGTTAAGTGCGGCGAAAGTGCATTGCGCTCACAAACCAAAGTAACAAATATGGGGCAACTGCAACAGGTACATTTTTAACAAACGTGCATAGCGTGAGTGCCCTTGTTGATCATGTGCAAAAATATGATCAGACCACATACTTTTTCTAAAACGTCTAGGTGCTATTGTAACTGCATACGTTACGTCTACTTGCCACGACGACGACAATTTTGTTCTGCGCCTAGTACATAATACTGTTCTGCGCGTCAAGTCCCGAAGCTGCGTATCTCTATACTCGTACTAGCGAGAAAGGAATACTCTGTCTCGCTCTTGCAATAATGTAGACCCTCTGATTGGTTGATTGTGTATTAACATTTTAGTATACTATTCAGCGCTTTTAGATATTATAGATATAGCGACATTTGCCGCTAAATGCATTCTAGTTCCAACTCATCCCCAATGTTTCACTGAAAAGTATGTACCTACAGCTATTCACCTACTAAAGTACTACGAACAGCACCTAATCTACCGTACTTTGGGCACTCATAGCTCGTTTCTCGTAAACTGGTGCTAACTGCGTTGGCTCAATTTACATTGCGGCGGAACGGAAGTGTCAATTTCGCCCCGCTATGCGAGTAGATGCGCACGGACGCTACAATGCTGGAGTATTTGTGCCACTTCCCGCGATTTGCCATACGTCGCCGACGGCAGCTGCGGAATTCTCGGGAATGCGCGAGCATTCTCGAGCATGCGCAAGAATTCCGCGGAAGACTCGTGACGTGATTTTGAGTTCTTATCTAGTTTTCACGTTACATAATTGACCATAAAGTAATGTACGCTGTGTACAATATCGTAACAAAACTTCGCTTCCATTCCGTTCCGCCGCAATATAAATTGAGTCTAAGCGCCGCGCAAACGTGTATCTTGTGTTAGATACAAGCAACTATAGAAGCGAGTATTCTATTTCCATACAATTAATATGAAATCTACGACACTGTCGCCGGATGCGGCAATTGCAATTGTATGAAAATATCGATTTCGCAACCGAGTGTCGTTGCGTTTGTGAAAGAAGTTAAAATCTAGTCACAATCGAAGGTTGTTTTATGTTTGGGCGCGTTTAATAATGTTATTTAACAACACAACGAAACACAAAAAGACAACACTCGATATTGACTCTCCAGAAATAAGTAGAAACACACTACTTTTGATCCTACATGATGTGCATCAACGCTCACCATTAACTGCGTAATAGACGAAAACACATAAGACCCGGATACGGGTTGCAATGCGGCAAGATATTTCACGTCTTTGTAGTGGACTTCATACTTTTAGTCAACATTTTTTTTGTTAAAATAAACCGGGAAGTAAATAAAATAAAAATCGAATATATTGTTTCTTAAATTTTATTGGTAAATTCACATTCAAATTATAGAGACCACGTTGATGACAGATGTTACAATAATGGGATTTCTACAGATAAAATTTAGTTATTAATCACTATGATACTGTATCGGTACTATAAAATTTCTAGAATCTACTGCTTCAAGAGCTACATCGAGTCAGGGTGCATAAATGCTTTGAAACTCCTTGTCAGGGTGAGCCAGCAATGAGACTGTAGGAAAATAGGGACGAATCGAAAATACACAGTTACAATGATTCATTACGCATTCACGATACAGATCAAAAATATTTCTATATTAATCAACTATTTCCACATATCCGTTAATTAAATATGACAAAACGCGTGCGTGTCACTTTTGGCGTGACGCAAACGAAACGTGTGATCATCATCATAATAATTTACGCTAACTCCGTTAATTGCGATCTATCGCTCTCGCGGGTAAATTCACAGACATTTGTTAAGCCTTCAGTGAATCTATGTAATATATCAAGAAACGTGCCGGGGGGGCGGCGGCCGGGCTCGAGCCTGAGATTCAGCGCCCTCGCACGCCCCCCGGCCCTCGTGCACTTCTCTCTCGCACCGCTCTCGTCCATCGTATAAACAATTATCAACCTATCATTAAATAGTCACGGTCAATTTCAGTCCGATATCGCGCGTCCCGCTTACGAACCACAGTCCACCAACTGCAATATTCACGACTGGGTATGACTGGGTATTTGCCGACCTTCGGCTCCAGGTACGCATGATTCGTAATCGAGATACAAAGTAACGAATAAAAATAATATATTAATCTAGAAGTTTTACATCGCTTAAGTTATAAACGAAGGAGTAGGACAGAAGCCTACATAATCACCACCGTTCACGTCCGCTCGTTGGTCGTAGACGAAGACGATTTAGAATCACCTAGGCTACGGGGCTAAGCGACGTAGCCGTCGCCATAGATGTTACATTATATGGTAATTTACGACGAACAGGCTCGGTGTGGTTATTATGTGGCGCAGTAGTGGCCGTGTGAGGAGGGCGGTGCGCGTGTGTCAGCTTACGAGTCCCACCAATCGGGCCCGCCGCTGCTGCCGCCGCCGCCGCTGTACGACCCGCCGTAGTTACCGCCATATGAACCGCCGCCGCCTCCGTACGCGAAACCTGTATAAATAGTTTATATCACGAATAATAAATTATTAAAAGTAAATTAAACATATCCCACACGAAACCAAATACGATTTGAAATTAAAAAAAAAACTTAATGAAACCAATATACTCGTACATATTTCCGTGATGGATAGTTAAGTATTATGTACAAATGAAAATAACCACTTAATCCCAATAAGATCCCATTTTGGTATGTAATATGAGTATTTTTTCTTATTGTGTTTTCTCAATTCCACAATTTTGAGTTACGACAGTATTTGGTTCCATGTACGATATACGTTTCACCCAAACTAAAACGAAGATAAGATATATCTTAAATGTGTCACCATAACTGGATAGTAAAATATAAAAAAAAGGCAAATGTCATCGTCATTAAGTACACTGACCAGAGCCAATGGAAGAGGGTCCAGCAGAGCGCGGTGGCTGGCGTGGCTGCGTACGGAAGTCGCGTGCGCCGAAGCCGGTGCCGCCGAAGCGTCCTCCGCTCGAGCGGCTACCGCCCGTGCGTCGACCCCCACCGCCCAAGCGACCGTCGGCCGCCGTGTCCGTCAGCCAGCTGCAAGCGATCACATTAATTTCTTAAACTCTTAGCGATATATTAATTTTTTTATTGAATTGATATTCAACTATTTTTTGGGAAATTACTCCCAAAATAATTCTTAATTCGGATTCGAACCGACGACGTCTCCTAACAAACTTGGCCTGACGCTTTGGCTTGGCTAACCAAGCCACGGAACGAACCAGCGGACCTTACGAATTTTTCTATGTGCTTGTTGTCGGATCTTTGTATTTTAGGTTTTCAACGACTTTTTAGCCGTGGTGTAGTTGGCATAGCGTCTGGCACGGTTTCCTAGGAGACGTCGATTCGAATCCGGTCGGATTGAAGGAATTTTTTTTGTAAGTGTTCGATCTTTGTATTAATAATTAGCTTAACGACATACGTTGATTTCTTAAACGATGTACAATTGTTTATTTATTTTGTACAACTTACACTTACAGTAGTTATAACTAAACTTGTAAGTCATAGTCATATAAAGGTTGAGTCGATCACCGGCCAAAGGTGTTCAAGTATAATTAGGTCTTCAAATAGTAACCATCGGATGTTAGATATTTTTTTTATTATTATTACATCAAGTGACGGGACGAACAAATCGTGCGTCTGATAGCAAGCTACACGCCTGTTTATAACAGTTGCAGTGCCACTCAGAGCTTTAAATTGCAAAGATCTGAGGGGCATTGTCACTGTGCTCGTCACCCTGAGTGAAGTTGACAAATCCCATGTGCCTGTAATTTCACCATTCAGTGTTTCTGGACACGTCAATATCATTTGTCCTAGTTAAGGATTCGATCACTTCACTTTCGATATTAGGGTCGTATTCTAGAACTCTGCTCAATGCTCAAGTCAGGACTTGAGCAGAATTGAGTATGATTTCAAGCACTGGAAATACGACCCTAATGGCAAGGACTTGAGTATGATTTTCAGTGCTCACTGCAATATTCAAGTCCTGACTTGAGCATTGAGTAGAGTTCTGGAATACGACCCTTAGTGTCATTGTGCAGGTTAATGAAAATTTAACAGAGGATATTTGCGCTGACGAAGGATGTAACGTGATATTGGCCGGACAAAAAAGAGAATTTGAGCCAATAGATTAAGTTAAAAAAATATTTTAGAAGCGCCACTTTTCGTCTGATCTCTAGCGATCTGTACGATACCATGACCAAAATAAATGGTGTAGGGTACATAATATAACGATAGTACCCATAAAGTTTTTTTATACAAAAATTTTAAAAATGATTTCTATATTCGTTCCAACATTGCAACATAGAGTTTATAGTGGGACTGTCGAAGAGTTGTATCTTCAAGAGCATGACTAAGAATAAGACACCAATGTCGTTGTATATTTTTTAAGTAGTTAAAAATTAGCAACTTTGACGTGTGATACTTTTCTTTGAATTTATTAATAGCACAACTACAGAATACAAACTATGAAGTTGCTTAAAGTTAAAATGCATTACAATCGGAGAAAATGAATGCCGAACAAACTCGAGATTCCTTTTCTTTAGAGATAGATCAGTGATTTTGCAGCTTATTCTATGGAATCTCACTTGGGCACATCTTGCTTCGCTTCGACCAGCAGCTCAACTAAATCGCGGGCCAGCCCGCGGTTGTTGTCGTTGAAGAAGGAAGTGGCGACGCCGAGGTTGCCCATGCGGCCAGTACGCCCTATGCGGTGCACGTACTCCTCCACGTCCGACGGAAGATCGAAGTTGATCACATGGCGCACGTGGGGTATGTCCAAGCCTAGAGATACCGTTCATTAGTAGAAAATTAAAGTATTTAAACATTTGGCTTGATATTGGTTTATATTAGCTTTTAGTTTCGGGGTGAAAAGTTTACTTTTCACTTCGATTGCGAGATTAAAAAAAAATATTTCAATCGTTTTCGCTCTACAACAAAATTACGAACGAAAATTCTGAAGTTTTCGCGGTATTTTTTTTCCAACCAGTCAGATACAAAAAACTGAGCGTACCTCTGGCTGTTTGAGTTTGTTCACTCGAAGTAAATTACAAAATTTGGTACTTTTTACTCCCTAGGTATTAAAGGATGCATTGAAAGGTTATATTGACGTATTTTTAGATCATGAGAAGCGAAAACAATGTTATAAATGTATACCTCGAGCAGCTACTGCTGTAGCAACAAGGATGGGCGTCTGTCCAGTGCGAAAGCGACGAAGTGCCTCTTCACGTTCGCGCTGAGTGCGATCGCCGTGAATAGACGTCACTGGGTACCCTTCCGTGTCCAGATATTCCTCTAGTTGATCCGCGCCTGACACCAAACAGTTTTTTTATTACTATTATATCAAATGACGGGACGAACAACGTCGTGCGTCTGATAGTTAGCTACACGCCTGTCCATAACAGTGGCAGTACCACTCAAGAGCTTTAAATCGATCTGAGAGGCAGTGTCACTGTAATTTCACCAGCACAAGGGTGCTGGTGAAATTACAAAGGGTAAGGACCCTTCAAAACTGAAAAACAGTAATGCTGACATTACTGCTTGGCAGCAGAAATAGGCAAGGTGACATACTTCCCTGGACGAATTCTTTCACAAGGAGCTACTACTACTAAGTTGTGACAATAAAACTACTAAAACGACACTAGAGTGAGGTATTTGCAACACTATTGAAGTCAAAATGTGATTAATGACTTCACGTTACGAATTGCTTTTCCTTAATTGAATATCTCGCATAACGCTTTACGTAAAAATGATTTAATAAATTAAATAATACAATTTAACCGCTTCCATGGCCGAACGGTTACCATACTGGACTGCTGACGCAGACGTCTCAGGTTCAATTCTTGGGCCGGAAGAAACATTTGTATGGCCTACATTTATTTGTCCCATGAGTTTGGGTGTAATTTGTGGTGGTCTATATGTGTGTCCATGGCACCCGCGACACAGGGTTTCCCGAGTTCGGGGCGTGTGCGTTATTATTATTATTATTAATTTAATTACAAATTGCTACCTTTCTTAGTCTCAACGAAAACAAGAGTGAGTTGGTCCTCCTCCTGTCGCGAGCGTTGCAGCAGGTTGGAGGCGTTCAGCAAATCCAGCAGGAACGACCTCTTTTGTGACTCTTCCACCCACACCACCTGCAAACAGTATAAATTTCCTCAGTTACATAAATTCGGTGTTATGACGAAAGGGCGAAAGCGCCATTTTGAAACATTTTTTCAGGGGAGCATGTTTTAGGTTTTAACGACTATTTTAAAAATATTTACGGTTTTAATTAAGTTTTAAAGTTGAATTTAAAACAGGACGTAAATACTTTCAAGCAGTCGTTAAAAAGTAAAACATTCTCCCCTGAAAAAAAAATCGAAACGGCGCTTTCGCCTACACTACAAAACACCGACGACAATGTAATAATAGTCAAGTATCGAACAACCGCACCAATTATCTGGTCGCAAATTAGGTAAACATACTATGAGTACAAGCACAATGGAATTCACTCAGGCGCTACTCGGAACACCTAAATCATTCTAGTAGACTAATTTTGAAAAAATTGTTTCCAAATTGGTTCTATCGCGAATCGAACCCGAGTCGTCCTGATCCAGCGCCCAAGGTGCAAACCGTTGGGCCACTGAGATTGACTATGTTGCCATATCTATTATTACAATGCTGTTTAGAAAGCGTCAAAGAGTAGAAAATAACTCTTAGAGTTGTTACACCGGTGACTTTTAGCAGCAATGCAATTGCGTTGATTGCATCGCTACACTTGCGATTTATAGGCGGTTTAATCGATGCAGTCGCGCGGTTGCACGTGTAAAGGGTAAACGATTAGCGACTGCATCGCGTTTGCATCGCTGATAAAAGACATGTGTAACCGCTCTTAATAAAATGACCCAATTTTGTCTAAATTTAAAATGTTAGTTGGATTAACCTTACCTTCTGAGTAATATTTTCAGACGTAGACCCGACTCGTCCTACAGCCAGGAACACGTAGTTGAAAAGGAAATCTTGCGCCAACACTTGAATCTGCTTTGGGAAAGTGGCGGAGAACATGAGCGTCTGTCGCTCGCCGGTCTTTGGCATGGTGTGACCCACGACGATCTTGCGGATCTGCGGCTCGAAACCCATGTCGAGCATTCTGTCGGCCTCGTCGAGGACTAGATGGCGGCAGTGGTCGAGCGCAACGCGGCCACGCGCTAGCATGTCGACGAGCCGGCCCGGAGTTGCCACGAGAAGGTGGCATCCGCGCTCCAACTCGCGGAACTGTTCGTGTATCGGTGACCCACCGTATCTGTCGAATAATTGTAAATAATTAGCCATATTCCTTAGATACAGCGTTAAATCTATTACCAAAAACCAAGGGATCGATATTTTTTTTTATGATACCAAATAACGGGACGAAGAAATCCTACACCTGGTGTTGAGCGACACGCCTCTCCTTAAAAGTTGCGATGCCTTTCAGAGCTATAAGTCTATTCTTTTTATATGATACCAAGTGACGGGACAAACAAGTCGTACGCCTGGTGGTAAGCGACACACCTGTCCTGATTCCTATACATGTAATTTCACCAGTACCCTTACCCTTCAAAACCGGAACGCAGCAATGCTCACATTACTGCCTGGCGGCAGAAATAGGTAAAAGATGGCAGTGCCTCTCTGGACGAACTCTTTCACAAGGAGTTCTACTTGTACTAAAAATCATTTCTTTCCTTGTTTTTTTTTTTGTTATAGTCGTCAAAATAAGAGGCACCTTTTGACACTTGTCATCGCAACGTAAATAAGGATGTGATCTAAATTATATCGGTAACCATATTAAACGATTCTCACGAGAAAACGATTGGAAATTTTGTGACTCGATCGTTTAGATTATTTTTCGGGTCATTTGTTTTCAGTTCTAGATGAAACAATTAACATTTAGGAAATGAAACTATTTTTTTTGTTGTTGTTGTTGTTGATGTTGACAGTCAACCGTGACCATGGGACCTGTAAAGGGCCCGAAACGTCGGTTTGTTCGAAAAAACAAGTATACGCGATTTAAATGCAGAAAAATCTCGCAACAATCGCGAAAACCTAAGAAGTCGACAAATTACCATTTATTTAAGCAATATAGAGTTTATATAAATAATAGTACCTAAGTATTTTAATTGATAACAATGACAACCTGTAGTTGTTGTAGTGTTAGTTACATAAACAAAGTTCACTAGAACAATCTGTACAAGTCAACTGACAAACAAATAGCAAAATTTTGAAACGAAAAAATATCTCATTTAAATTTTTATTCACTTTCATCGGAAAACGAGTCAAAATCATCAGTTGAGGCAGTATCACATTATCGATATCAACATCTTTTTAAAAAAGTCAATATTATAATTTGACTGAAATTAAATTGACTCGGTGAAATTCGGCGATTAATTTGGTCACAGCACTATTATTTAAAAAAATTAGATTGAGGACGTAACTGTTTCTGATGATTCATCAAACACCAAGTTTGAGCACTGCAAGTAAGGACGGGCGGGGAAATACGCACGCCCATAAATTTTCTTTTGAAGTTTAGCGGTAATTTTTCCTTCATCAGGTTTATTCTCATTAATCATATAATGTTATAAGAATGTAAATGATTCATATAGTATTAGTTTTCTTGCTTTGCTATTGTAGACTTTATATTTTATTTTTTGGATCGCTGACATTATTTAAAGGCGCATATAAATTCATCATATCAAGTAAATAGAACAATTTTCCCTGTGTTCCGTTGTATTGAAAAATGAAGCGGAGTCATATTAGTTCTTTACTTAAACATAGTCTGTCTTTTTTGAAGACAGAGTAAAATTACTTTTGTAGGGTTGCCAGTTTTAAAAAAAATTATGTAGTTGTTGTCGATAGTTTTATCGATAGATTGTGAAAGAAGACAAAATTTTACCAAAAACGACTGAATTGTGAAATGAAAATACGACGTTCTAATGATTACTAACTGCGTTATTGCCTTCTTTATTCTTATTTTGGCAGTTGACCCACTCGTACCGAGGTCAATTTTTATTCATATACATTTGAACAAGAATAGCCGAATATGATTATCTATATTGAATCAATTAAAAACAACTTTAAAATATGTCTCCTCTTTCTATTTTTCATAAATATAATTCTAAATACAGTGAACTTGTACGGTAGTTGGATGAATAATGGATCGAGGATGATTCAAATGAAACACGTTCGGCCATGTATTCCATAAACGTGACCAATATTGAATCGATGGTCAACAGAATATTTATCGACCACAAGCACTTTTCTCGTAAGCGGGCCACACTTTTGCGTAATGAACTGTCATTTTACTTCGTCTTCAAAAAGGACAGACTATAAAAAGCTACATAGCACCTTTAGTAAAATAACAGTTTGTAATATCCTATATTAAGGAAAGAAAATAATAATTATGTGAATACGTACACAACACAAGGTCGCACACGGGAGCGGTAAGCGAATTTCCTTGCCTCGTCGTAAATCTGAGTAGCGAGCTCACGAGTGGGAGCCAGTACCAAGCCCAGGGGGCACTGTTTGCGTCGGTTGTACGGCCTGCAGACATAAATACAAGTTACATAATACCGTAATGCTGGCATTAGTTCGACAATGTAGGAACATCGAGTATATAACCAGAAATAGAGACGAAATAAGGGCCATATATTCCTGGTAACACATTAGCGACACAGCTCTTATAAATATCAACTCCCGTTTGCACTAAAATATAGACAGGCCAACTACTGACCTGTGCGTACGTCTCCGTATATTCCAAAAAATATTCTGTATTTATTGTAATAAACATAATATCTCTAACAATGCCGTACTCTTCTATTTGGTGGTGTGGGAAAAACAGCAAAACATCTAATTACAAAACAAACGGAATCACATTTCATCGGTAATTAAATATTATACATATATGTAATTTTGAAATTTTCGTCCATTATAGCAAAGCTCAAGTCAACTGGTCGATTTGAAGTGAAACAGTTGACGACACCCATTGACGACACCCGTCAATTGTTTCGAACTCGGGCTAGCCAATCGGAGCGCAGTGGTCATAGTAATGATATGGCAGAATAGTTTTCAAACAAATTAAATGACATTTCGTCTCTATTTCTGGTTATATACTCGATGTGTAGGAATAACACTCACCCCATGTTTTTAACGGGTCCGGCTTCGTAAATCTGGTTGAGTATCGGCACGAGGAACGCCGCTGTCTTACCGGAGCCAGTCTGCGCACATGCCATCACGTCCCTGCGTCCGAGCACTATCGGGATCGCGTACTTCTGCACCGGCGTCGGCTTGTCGTAGCGGGCGAGCGCTATATTCGAGCGCATTATTTCTGTCAGGTTAACTTCCTCAAACTGTGGAAATATCAATACAGAATACTTAAAAAAACCAACCTCAAAAATTCGTGTAATTACATCTTTTTGCTAAGTTTTATTGAAATCGGTTACCGGTAAGTGCGCGAAAGTGGATTCATCTAATTTGCCACCCTTAGAGATGGAATATTTTCTTCAAATTTAAATGGGACCAATACCGAGGTATCCTCTTTCCAACAAAAAAATTATCATCAAAATCGGCCGGAGTTATCTCGTATCATACAGACAAAAAAATACAGGCGAATTGAGAACATCCTCCTTTTTATGAAGTCGGTTAAAAAGTAAAGTTTTGACTTTTATTTAACTTAATGCATTATACAAAGGCTAAATACATGCAGCTGTAGCTCAAAAACCACTGTGAGTTTATCCATCCACAAGCGATTCGCTCTAACAAGTATTTTTTTAGTTTTGTATTTACATTTCCCTTCTACATATGAGTCTTGAATGCACGCAGGCAATTCATTCAGTAATTTTGGTTAGTTTTAGTTAGTTGTAGATATATCCACCAAAAATTCCAATGTTTACCGATCACTTCTTCACATAAGCCACCATCGCGGGGTCTGACAGGGTCGCCATATAGTGAGTGAAGTTAGTTGTTCTAAATGTAATAAAACTAGATAATTGGATAACACGAGGTACGTTTATATTGTTCGATAGTACACTCTTGATTGACTGTCTGCATAAGACTAATATTGAGTCTTGTACTAATTTGGCTATAATAATTTAAACATTGTGTTGGCTACACCACTATAAAAATTTATTATTCTATTTCATTACGAATGTAACAAAATTTCAAAAAATATGGCAAAGGAACATAGTTATGCTATAATTGTTTCTTACGAAGATGGATGGGTAATGTAAATCGGACTCCAAATTAATTTGAGTTGTATTCTTCGGTTATTAAATGGAATAACAAATTACATTTTTATTATATTCGTTGCACACGTCTTGAAAAGGCAGTCAATGACAGGGCCGGCGCGTGCGTCGCGAACCACAGAATAGCGGCTGCTAGGGATGCGCCATAACAATAATAATAATTATGAGGAATACTGTCTGTTCGATTTTTAATTCATCATTTAGAGAGAGAGCAGAGGCAAAACTAGATATTCGAAATAATAATAACAGTTACCTAGTCTCAAACTGGGGAATGGCCTGTACTATGAGTACCAGTGCAACGGAATTTAGTCTGGGACACTGCAAACATCCAGAGCAGAATCAATTCCGAAAAGTTTATTTCCCAAATTGGTCTTAAAGGAAACAGACCCCGGGCCCTCTTCATTCAGCGCCCACGGTACAAACCGTTGAGCCACTGAGGTCGTTAATTAAAGAAGTACTGTATTGAATAAATACATAATGTTAGAACTTACGCTAGTGATGAAATCCGGTACGCGGTCCCCGCTCGCCTCCACCGGAATATCCTCGTATTTGGAGAAGTTAATGCCCGTGTTACCAGTGCCAAAGAGCTCCAGCTCCTGCCGCTCGTCGCGAGGTAGCGGGACTGTCCAGTCATTCTACAAACACAACATATATGTTTTAATTACAATCCACGTGTATCAAATAACCGGACAACATCGAGGTTTCATTTATAGAAATTTGTTACTAGTATTGACATGGAACTCTGACAATTTGAAACTGTCAAATAAGCACGTTTGCCCACTGCATCAGGGGGTCTACTCTCGATCTCCGTCTGACATCTGTCCGAAACAAACTAATTTTATTAATTGAATATAGATACTCAAGTCAGGACTTGAGTATTGCGGTGAGCACTGAAAATCATACTCAAGTCCTTGCCATTAGGGTCGTATTTCCAGTGCTTGAAATCATACTCAAGTCTGCTCAAATCCTGACTTGAGCATTGAGTAGAGTTCTGGAATACGGCCCTAAGACGACGATATGAAGGTTTTTCTACCGCACTGACCTCGTCCCTGCGAGTACTTGTTCGACGCACATCGTCGGAGGGCCAGCGCGAGTTATTGCGGTCATCGTGGCGCGGCTCCGGCTCCTTCCAGCGGTCGTTGCGCGGCGGCGGCGGGTCCTTGTAGTCGTCGTCGCGTCGCACGTCGCGAACCACCTCGCGCTCGCGCCCCATATCGCGCCCTCCCGCGCCAATTCCGCGTCCACCGCGCTCGCGTTCGCGGTCGCGCTCGCCCCAGCGATCGCTATCGACCCATCGTTCCGTGTCTCCATTTTGATATCCAGAATCACGACCTAAATCGGACTCTTCTGATGAATAGAAATAACCAGGGCAATTTAAATAACAGTTTACTTTAAGTTCAGCCTAAACACACCCCTTCTAACTATTAAAATGCTTATAAAAAAGCAACTACACATCTAATCAAACTATTATTCAATACAAAATAACGTTATATAAGTACTAATTCAATACAATCTACGTATATAAATAATCAGTATTAAATATATTAAATTTCTCTTTGCGTATAAAATCAAAATACTTAAATACTCTACTGAATTTAAAAAAAAATTTAAATGGCAACAAAAACTGTAACAAGACATCCAATTACGACAAAAAAGAGTACATATCGAAATGCATACACACCGCGGTCCCTGCGCGGATATCGCGATTCGTAGCCGCGATCGTGGTCACGGTCGCGGTCACGGTCGCGGTCGTCGCGCCGACCACCACGGTCGTAACCCCTAGAGCTGCCTCCGAATGATGGACGGGGTTCCCGCGACTCGGGAGGACGAGCGTCTAAGCTAGGGCGCTTAGACTCTTCGTCTGCATAAACAATCAAACATATCAACTATAGATGGGGCGGTTCATAATGAAAATAAAATTATAAAAAACTGCGCCACACAAAATGCGGTTTGCTGTCACGGCGCGTTCGTGGAAGCCAATACAACCCACGCCGCTCTTGTGTGGCGGAGTCGTAAAAGAGGGCTTATCTCCATCCCGTGGGAGGGTTTATTATTTCCTGTTGCTGTTTACGAACAAAACAGAGAAATATGTGTCACATTTTTAAACTTGCGAAATTGCGAAGTTTACACCTGTTTACCTGCTTAAATAACCATCTGCACTAGCAACCCTTAGCCTAAGCCGCCATTTTCAGACTCTTCTTGGCCATCGCGTCTAGACAAACTACAAATTAAGTGGCCAATTTTTGTTTTTTGTCTATCGGGAATTGAATACGAGATTCAATTCCCGTTAGATCAGATAAAATATTATAACAAAACCATTAAATTGACAATGATAATTAGTAAAATCTTTACACATTTTTATGTGCAAAGATTTACTTTTGTAAATTCTTACAATAGTTAAATTACTCAGTAAAATTTTAATATTCGATTAATAAAACAACGGGTTGGCAAAAAATGCATTCGGTTTTTGCCACTAGCTAGCTAACTTTAAAGAATAAAAGAAGTTTCTTTGTATAAAACGTTGCATTGTCCTTGGTGATTTTAAATAATACTGAATCGCGCATTTTTAGAATAGGCGGGAAAGTTTTAAGTATATAATTCATGAAAACGTCATAACTAGTGAAGCATAAAAAAGTTTTTATGTCATCATGATAATGCCAAGTCACGTACATCTTTACAAAACCGTCAAAAACTATCGCAGTTACATTGCGATGTGTACCTCATCCACTGTATCAGCCGAAATTTAGATTTCCACTTGTTTCGGTCTTTACAAAATTCTTTGAATGGACACGACTTTCATAACGAAAAGACCATTAAACGACGCATGAGCTGTATTTTATGAGACAGGATGTTTTATGAAAGGGGAAGTCTAAATTTACCCGAAAGATGACATAAAATTGTAGAACAACATGGCAATACATAATTGATTAGTCCGGTTTTTTTTTAATGTTTTTCATTTATATTTACTGTCACCGCATGGATTTTTTTACAACCCAATACATTCGGTGTACTTTTTAAGTATAACAAAACGGTTTTATCATATTTTATCGCAGGGGAGCAGCAAATGTGCCTCCATTAGAAAATTTTTTACACATCTGGTTATAAAATCCTAAATCATTATTATTAATTTGTTTTGTTTGCTGCAGTAGTTACCCCTATTACTAGGCTATAATCATTCATAATAAGCACGATCAAAAAGTTTCTAATTCTGTCAGAATTCCCATTTTTGTGAAAGAACATAAATGTTCAAAGCTGCCCCACTTTGAATTGAAATGAAAATTACTTATATATATCGCAAAATATTTTTATTAAATCTGTTATCAAAAATGTTTTATAATACGTATAAATGACCATTAAAGTTTCCGAAAGTAAGTTTAAATTTGAAATGCCCCCTCTTAACGTAGTCAAAGCTGTCCCTTTAATTTGTTCAAATTTGCCCCAATGGGTACTCTACAAAATAACAACTATTTTTCATGAGCAAAAACATTCAATGATTGCAAATTGTGGGTTTAGTATTTTAGCAATAAAACAATCCATACGACAAGCAAAGTTCAACTCACCATTATCTATTTTCTTCCAGTAATAATATCCTTACAACTATTTTTGACAATATTTACTTTTCAACCTCTCATTCAGTTTTAGGCGCGCGCACACTGGCTTTTGCCATTGCCCGGTATTGGGCTCGGTGTTGCCATGTTATATATATATAATTCCTACTACATTTTCATTCAAACTGACTGCGCAAACGTATTTATTCTAAGTTGCCCCTGTTCAAAGGTGCCTTCTCCTCTGCTCATGATAGCAAGTAACATCATCAAAAAAATCCTGTTAAAGCCTATAATATAGGCCATATTAAAGTTATATCTGATTAGATATAACTTTTGTCCGAAGACAACTCATTTTCATACTTCAATTCCGATTTCTGTAATATGATTCATATGATAATGAGAAAATAACACTAACGGATAGGATGCAAAGAAATATGCAAAGCTGTACAAATAAGACTGATGACGACTTTGATACGCCATTGATTTAATTAGTCGAAGAGATTCTTCCACTGAAAATAAAAATAGTAGTTATAGTTATCACAAACTAGTTTTAACAATAAAAAACTTGTTAAAAACATGGTATGACCAATCCTAGTGATTCATTTGACAAAAGACAAACTTATACAGCGTTCCTAATAAAAACAAAATAAAACAACTCCTTAACAGCCCTGCTGTCCTTGTTATTTCAGTATTTTTCGAGATACTGGTACCTAAAGTTTTTTTTGCTTGTAAAAAACGTCCATTACGCTGATTTTGCTTAACAATAACACTGAAACTACATAAGATATAAAAACACCGATTAGAGAGGGTTGCAGTTCTCGTTTCGCTAGTCTGTTAATAATTCAATATCGCTAAAAACGTTGATACAAAAATAGTGAACATGCATGTTACAATGTAATTTTGCAATTTGAATTCAGTTTTCAAATTTCACTCTAAATTGATATTTGAAAAGGTTTTGGTTGTACAGGATGCCAATAGATGGCTTTAAGCACTATGCTATTTTTAAAACGAGATGTTAAGTTTTTCCTTTGCACCTTAAATAGTCGAGTAAAGAAAGTATCGATGATTGGAATTTCATGTGTGTACTACTGGAACGCATTGGAGGTAATTTAGCATGCGGGGTGTGTACGTGTTCCTACCGAACCTCCCGTGTTGACTTTTCTGGAAAACTACAAATAAAGCTAGGCACATTACTTAAATAATGACATTTATTTAAGTAATGTGCCTAGTGACTTTAAAGTCAGAACTAGCCCTTCGTCGCGGGTAAAATATAACAATAAACGACATATTTTTGGTCGATATAACGCTCAACGGATATAATTAATTTATGATATACAGATATTTGACAGATTTATCCTTACATGATATAAAGGTTACATTTTATATAAACATTTCAGATATAACATTCACTGAGTGTAATGTATTATAAAGGTAATCCCAGCGGTTTTTATGTGCAATGACAAGCGCAGCAAGAAGTATTAGGCTCGAAAACAAAAAATAATCTTATAGAACTGATACTTCCCCTAAGTTAGATTAGGTTAGAACTGCGACTTTAACGCCAATACTAAATTTCGTTGCGAAATCAGTAAGAAATAAATTTTCATTAACTCGCAAATTACAGAGAACTTTTATTATCTTTATTATTATTAATCACACTCAATTATTTACTTATAACCACTACTTAACTTAACTGCCTTGGAGGCCGAACGGTTACTATGCCGCCACGCAGAGTTCCCAGGTTCGATTCCCGGGCCGGGAGAAATGTTTGTATGGCCTACATTTATTTCTCTCGTGAGTTTGAGTGTAATTTGTGGTTGTCTATGTATGTGTCCATGGCACCCGCGACACAGGGTTTCCCTAATGCGGGGCTATGTTGAGTGTGTGCGTTATTTATTTATTTATTTATGATTTACTTATTATATCAGTTTATGTCAACATAAACTATCTACTTTTTCGAGTTCTTAGGTTTTCGTTTGTGTTTGAAAAATAAATATACGCGATTTAAACCCGGAAAAATAGTTTTATTTCCTATATCTACTTTTTGACGGTAAATAAAATATTTTCCATATTTGTTATTACCCTATTTTTAATGTGTCAACAAACTTCCTGTACTATTTGATAAAATACGTACCGAGAAGTCAATACACCCGGCTGTAATCTGTATGGCCCACATAAAATTAGGCTACTGTGTATATCAATAGTAATCTATTTTAAGTTTTTAAATAAAATCTTTATGTACGGAGAGCTGGGTTCAAAATAATTAACAAGGGTGCATACATGATAAATAAAAACAGATAGGAACAAGTTTACAAATTAATACATAGTTTAAATACAATATAATATAACATATAATAATACATGAATAAGTATATACTTATATAAGCAATCTATATACACATAAATACACAATTTACATATATACATAGACATATATATTTAATGTATACAGACTAATGGATGTAGTTTGAGACTCCAACATGAAATCGCGTACTAATTGCGTCAAAGCTAGCTTATTCGGCGCTTTTTGAATATGGGGCGGCAGAGCGTTCCAGAGTCGTATAGTTCGTTTCCATGAATATAATACCATCAGAGTAATTAAATAAAAAATGAAACCCACATTATAGTGTTCCATTTTAAACAATGCCACTAAACAACACTACGCTCCTTAACAACGATTGAATAATAATGAATTTTACAACACAACAAAATGCGCGCGAAAAAAATACGGCCCGTTTATTTGCGCGGAGCGCCGCCGCCGCTCAAATCTTGCTAATTTTCTCATACTAATCTTTTCTTTCACGTGCCGCGCGGATAAGAAATTTCTCTTTCGCACTCATTGAATTCAGTACTGAACTTTGTAAACAATTGCTGTTCATTGGAAAGCATCGCGAAGCTCTCCACTCAAGGGTCAGTATGCTATATTATATTAAAGAGAAAGATAAAAATCTAATTGTATGTTTGTCGCTCATTAATAAATATATTTTGGTGGGTTGGATAGGAGTGGGAGTTCACTGCACCAGCGCTTCTTAGGACGAGCCGCCTCTGATACCAATTCCAATAATTCTGAAATTCTAGACTTTGCTTACATTTGCAAACTACTAAAACAAAGTTGGTGATAAAACTAACAATTGCATAATTTGTTTTTCTTCAATTATATCAATAACAGGACAATAGAAAACTTCTGCCACGAACACTTTACTCGCCGAACAGTGAACAAAAGTTATGTTTTGTAGCTAATTGCTTCTCCCCTACTACGTATGAACTCCGATCAGATAGATATGTATTGTAATTTCTTGAAACTACTTTTCACTCA